CCCCGCCGGTCCCCGCTGCCCACAGCCCTCAGCCTGACTCCAAGCTCCTGCCCAGAAGCCAAACTGCCCGAGAGCAGAGAGCCCCTCCGTCACCAAAATGCCCCCTGGACGTCCTGCGACCAGTCCTCACCTCCCAGGGGCGGGGAAATGCCAGGTCCCCAGGTCCAAGGATTCCAGACGCTGAACCCCAAACCTCTGAACCTGAGTCTGAGGTTCCCAGACCCTGACCCCCAAGAGTGGCTTCCCCAAGCCCCCTGTCCAAGGCTCTGAGACCAGGTGACTTTAGACCCCAGTTCCTGGGCCTGGACCCCAACAACATGCCCCTCAAATTCCAGCTTATGGTCAGAGATCCCCAGACATGAGCCCCAAGCCTTCACTCTTGAGTCCTGAGCTCGGGGGCGAGACACCCCAGATCCCTCAGCTCTTGCCAGGGTCATGCCTGGTTCCAAAGGCTTGGGCCCCACCCCCGGGAGCCCAGCCTGAATTTCACGAACCCCACATCCCGAAGGACTCCCTGTCTAGACACCGTCACCCCACAGGCCGGGGACCCCGGGAACAAGTGGTGCGACCCCCCAGCCCGACCCAGCCGTGACCCCGCGCCCGCCCAGGCCCCTGCGTGCCTGCGCTTGTGGCTAACCCTCTGCTCTCTCCCCACAGACTGCACGCCTCGCCCTGCCCCAGGCGCCCCCGGACCCGCCCCCGCCCCCAGTGGCACCCCCAGCCTCAGCCTGGGGGGGCATCAGGGCCGCCCACGCCGTCCTGGGGGGGCTGCACCTGACTCTGGACTGGGCGGTGCGGGGCCTGCTGCTGCTGAGGGCCAGGCTGTGAGCCGCCGCTGCGTCCCCCAAGCCAGACCGTATTTATTTATTTATTGCGGGACTGGGGTGTGGCAGCCAGGAGACACCCCGCGCTTCCCCTAGGCAGCGGCCGTCCGCCGGGAGTCCCTGGCGGGCACACGCCTTATTTATACTTATTTATTTAGGGTGGCCTGAGGCTCTGGCCGCAGTGCCCCAGGGCCCGGGACCCCGCGCCCCCCGGCCAGAGGAGCACAGGCGTTATTTATTGACAGGGACTCTGCGTCGGGGTGGGGACGGGAGAGCAGGCCTGGGCTCTCCACACGCAACGGTGAGCAGCGCTGCGCGGCCCCGGGGGAGCTGCGTCCTGCTGGCCCCGACTGGGGCGGGGCAGGGCCCACGGCTCCCTCCGAAGGCTGCCCAGCCCCTGTGGGCGCCAAGGTTATTTCCTGGAAGACCCCGAAGGACGGCCGTGACCGGCGGGACGGAGCTGGGTAGCCCGGCGGCCTGCAAGCCCAGTGCCGGGGTGGCCAGGGCTGCGGGCAGACGCAGGCGCAGACACGGGGCGGCGGCTGGACCCCTCCCGCCCCGGCCTTTACAGCCCATTCCAGAAGAAAGCACTGGAACGGGACGCCGGCCGCCTCAGGGTGGGGGGATGGCAGTGGGCGGTTTTTATTATTATTTGTACTTGTATCATCAGAATTTCTACAGTGACTGTGTATTTTGCATGACACTTTCTAGAAACATAATAAAGACTATTTTTAGAACTTCAGAATACCAGCCCCTCCTCGTACTATGTGGGGTTCCACTTAAGTGACCCCACCCCGACCCACGTTACCGGTGGTGGAAACTGAGGCTCAGGAGGGCGCCTGTGGGTCAAGGTCACACGGCTGGGGACACACAGGACACCGGGCAGCAGCCACGGGCAGGCACTGGGACAGGGAACCCGGCTGGGGGAAGGGTCGGCTCTGACGCAGGGTCCAGCGAAGGGACAGGGGCCATGTGGGGCTGTGTCAGCCCCCTAAAGGAACTGTCCAATCACAGTGTCCAGACGGGCACCCCACAGTCAGACCTGGGGTCTCCGGCCACGTCCCGTGGAGAAGGAGGCCGGGAGAGCCCCCAGGAAGAGGCCTGTGTGTCCGATGAGGTCACAAAGCTCTTGCTGAGGGCTCCTCCCCCAGGCCAGGGCTGTCCACCTGCAGCCCCTGGCCAAGCCCCGGAGGGCCACCTCTGGAGGCGCTGAGCTCCCTGGGGCGCAAGAAGCAGGCCCTGGGCAGTGGCAGTGGGGCGCGGCCAGGCGGCTGCAGGTCCCGGGCGGGCAGGTTCCTGGCTCCCGCCGGTAGCCCACCCTGCCACTTCCGCCATGAACCGGCTCTGGAACATCAGGCGCATGGACCCCCTGCGGGGCTCCCCAAAGTGGGTCCCAACGCTGGGAGAGCTGCAGAAGACCCTCCAGAAGGGCGAGTACCTGCCCCTCCGCCCGCTGCCCATGTTCGAGAGTAACTTTGTGCAGGTTCCCAGCGCTCGGTGCCCGGGGGCCCGGGGCCGCCATCCCGGGCGGGGAGGGGCGTGGGTCTGAGGGCGCCAGGCGCCTTGGAGGAAGGGGTGGTCCCAGCCCCTCTCGCTGGCCCCCAGGTGACCAATCGAGGGAGCCCTGTGTACGTGCACCACGGCGCCAACCGGCTGACCATGGGCGTGGCCGCCTCCCTGCCAGGCCTGGTGCTGCCCGACATGCTGCTGATCGCGCGGCCCCCCGAAGGCCGGGATGGCCCCAACGTCGTCCTCACCAGGTGCCTGCACCCCCCACCCTGCCGCCCCGCCCCCCCTCCTGCTACCACCGCCATCTCCCGCCTCCCCAGGATGATCCCCCTGGACCTGGCCCAGCTGTACGTGCACGACCTGACCGCCTGGCGCCTGAAGCTGCGCCTGGTCACTGGCCACTACTACTACCTGGAGCTGGACGCCCCCGACAGCGAGGTGGCCTTCCTGTTCAACCGCTGGATCCGCCTCATCAACCTGCTCCAGGAGCCCAGCACCACCTGGGTGCCCAGGGCTGCCCACACGCCCAGCTTGGGCCTGGCCAGCGCCACTGCACCTGCCTCCACCTGGCGCCTCCAGGTGGGGCCGACCCGGGAGGGTGGAGAGTGGAGGGCGGACTCCGCAGGCAGAGCGGAGAGCCTGGAGTCCGGGGCCTTGGGGTGGGCTGGGGCCAGCTCCTTGCAGTTTGGAGGGAGCCAGCGCCTGGCCTCTAGGTCTGGGGGAGGGGCCGGCCTGAGCGGCCCTGGGCCAGAGTGGGGGCTGGACCCCTCTGGAGTGGAGCAAGGGACACATGGACCTAGGCGAAAGTGGCCCTGCTGACCCCTCCCCTGTCCACAGGGCCCGCCCCACAGTCAGCGCTCAGGTGAGTCGGCCTGCCGGCCACTCCGCGTCTGGCCACGGCCTGCCCCCAGCGTGGGGTGGGGGTCCGTGGGTCTCAGCCGCCCTCTCTTTCAGTCATGATCGCCCAGCCCACCTTTCCTTACGCGGTGCTGACGCCCCAGAAGCAGAAGAAGGCCAAGGTGAGCCCGGCAGGCGCGGGGCGGGCCGGCCGGCGGCCGGGAGGGGGCCCGCTGACCGCTCTGCGCCCCGCCGCCACCGCAGACCCTCAAGCGCAGATTCAAGTCCCAGGCGGTGGGCGACTCGATGCCGCTCATCTGGTCGAAGCTGGAGCCCGCGGCGGCCGAGGAGGCGCCCGGCGAGAAGACGTAGGCGCGGCGGGCGGGCGGGCGGTCACTCCTCGCGAAGCTGCAGGCGGTAGCGGTGGTAGCGGACCTGGAAGAAGAGGCGCTCGGCCAGCGAGAGGGTCATGCCGGGCAGCACGTAGCGGTCACTCGAGCCCATGTGTCTGAAGCCCAGCGACTCGTAGAGCTTGTGGGCGGCCACCTTGACGGCCGTCGTGCCCAGCACCACGGCGGAGTAGTCGTGCAGCAGCGCGAACTCCAGCACCTTGCGGCCCAGCGCCTTGGCGATGCCCTTGCCGCGGAAGCGGGCGTCCACCGACATGCGCAGCAGCTCCACCGTGTTGTCCGCCTCGTGGGCCCGCGCCGCCACGATGCCCACCACGTTGCCGTCCAGCACGGCCACCCAGAAGCAGGAGCCTGCGGAAGACGGGGCGTCAGGCCGGGACGGGAGCCCCGCCCCCCGCCGGGACACAGGAGGCCCCGTGGGAGGCCGGGGGGCGAGCGCCGCTGCGAACCCGCTGACCCAGGCCTCTCCTGGGCACACAGCCCGGGCCGGCCTAACCCACCCACCGCCGGGCCCA